ACAAGTGTATGACTCGATGACATGAGTTTAGTGTTTTGGTCTTGTGAAGGCAAGTTGAAAGAGTGATTGTTAGTTGCTTTGCGACTAATGATTGCTTGTAGACTTTGTCAAAAGACTATTGACACTTGCTTCACTCGATGATGATTTAGCAGTGATGGGCTTGCTTTACCGAATGGGGTTGCGGAGGATTGTGTTGTTAGACTTACGTGGGTTTTCCATGTTGGCATATCGACTCTACCTCTGTTGATATCATTTGGTTGCGTTTAGTTCATAGTGTTGGATTTCATGGAGTCTTGGATGTGGTGATTCACTCCTTGATGAAGTGTTATCTGTAACTGAGTATTGTTGAAGAATTAGTCTCGGATACTCGAGTAAAGTATCTTCGACCTTGGTTAGCTTAGTTGCTAGAGAGTTTTGAGTGGTGATACACTCGTGCTTTCTTCTCGCTTTGTTCTAGTGTTGATGGCATTGAAGTGATGCCTTGTTGTTGACATTGTTGATGTTAAGATTTTAGTGAAATGAGATGTCTCTCCGCAAGATTGATGTCGAGTTTCATTAGTTTTGATGAAGATAGTGTCGATGATTTGGCTATAGCTTTGTGTTATTAGCATTCGTGCATTTGCTAATTAGCAACTATGTTGACGTTCAAATGAACTGAGTGGCAAGTTTGAGTTAGTTGTGTTCTAAACGAGATTATTTAGTAGGGGTTGAGCTTTGAGCTTTTCCTTGAAAAGTGATTCAGTCGTGAACTATGCTAACTCTACAAGCGGAAGAGTTAGTGATTGATATTAGAATGTTTGAATCCTTATTGGATTTGAGTTGGAATATATCGATCATTGATGATTCTTCTTGTGCTTGTTATGATGTGAGTTACGTCTTGCTATAGATGGATTCATGGAGGATCGTTTGATGATCACTTGTTAAGCATAGCTTTGTTATGCTTAGCTTTTGGATTGATGCAGACATGCTCTTCATTAGCTTTGCATTATGAAGTTTAGCTTATGGATGTGTTGAGGAGGATATTGTGGGTTGTACCATGATTTCTTCTTTAGCATTGAAGTTAGTTTATGCAAAGCTTGTGATCATTATTAGGCAAGACTTAGCTATAGACTTCTTCGAGCTTTTGGTTCTTTGAGTTTTATGATCGTTGTTCCATTTGTTCGAAGTTGTTGGGGAAGGCATTTTGGCTCATTAGCTTCGATGTTGACGTTAGTATTTGCATCTGGCAATCATTGGTGATGATTAATTATCATCTAAGATAGTTGATTATCCTTGTCAAGGGTTTTGCTTGGTTGTTGTTGATATAGAATGATTCGTTGCTCTTTGAGGTAGTGGATTCTTTCTTAGACGATGATTATGCATCTCTTTATTGATGGGATGATTGATGATCTTTCATGATTGTTAGTTGTTCTCTTTGATGGCTTGTGGCTTTTCGCAATATCACATGTTCTTTGTGATTTGCTTTGGATTGGTCTCTTGGGTTTGAGACATTAGTAGGATGTTGCTGACACTTGCTTAGGCAACTTGAGTTCCTTGGTATTGTTGGCTGGGATCTATTCAGATTAGTTTTTGTGATAGTTGGCAGGAATGAGTGTTTGTTGGTCTTACCACATTCATTCTCTTCTGTTGATTGTTGCTCAAGTTAGTTTTGATAGATTTGGATGTTATTTCCTTTGGGTGATACATTCGCGAGCATTTTGCTTATCAGTCAATGATACTTTGTGTTCTTTGAGTTGTCTTTCGTAAGTTGTTTAGTATTCTATCTGCAATCTTTAATAGTTAAACTTTATCATTGAGTTTACTTGATGATATACTTGCTATTGAATTTTGTTTGATGGTGAATCCTATATTTACCAATTATGATGATCTTGGTGGTTCCTGTACAATACTATTGGTTTATCGGATGATAACTTGCTTAGAATACTTTTGTGTTCTACTCTAAGATATAATCACTGATAATTAACCTTCTAAAATATCATTGTCTCTGACTTTGATATTGTCCATCTATTGATCTTTGAGTTTGGGCTAGTATAGGCGGACTGGCTTCGGCACTTCGTGTGCATGTTGAAATCTCTAGTCATGGGGTAGCTACTGTAGACTAGTCACATAACCCGCCTCTCTGTCGATGTTCCTTATTCCGTTAAAAGGGCGTGACCGTGTAAACAACTCTAACTGCCTGTTTACAGTAGTCTATCTAAACCTTACCGACGGGTTTGGTTTCTTTGCTTAGGAGGGTTGGGGCTTCTGGCTTCTCTCTCTATGTTCCTGCGGGCAGGGCATATCACACTTTTGTAAGCTGGGTGACTCCCAGAGCAGCAAGGGTGGCTAACTCCGTTGGTCATTTCCTTGTCGGCGACGGCTGAAAGGTGTCTGAGCTGGTAGCGCATCCGCGTTAGACAAAGAGGTTGCCCCCTAACTCATTTAAGTTGGTGCATTTCTCACATAGTGTGAGTACCGTGAACTTTTTCTGGAGTTGTTTCCTTGGCGGTATTCTAGACTCGAGTATGCATCGACGAGGACGTCGATCTTCCCTAGGGGGGGAGAGTGTCGCGCATGTGACTTCGGGTATCGAAAGTTACCTGTCGACTAGTCCTTACGGACACTCTTACCTTACTGCCACGATGGCAGGAGGTCGGTACTGCTGGTTCCCTTTATTGGCCCCTCTTGTTCAAGTGTTAGTAAACTAGACTTTGCATCTGTACTTGGCCGGATGAGCATAAGGAAGGAATTCCTAAGTGTCTATTTAGCTGAGCATACTTGGCCCGGCTTGTTAGTTCTCTTTTGCTCTGTCTTGCACTGGCTTGACAAGAACCCTCGCGTATTGAGATTGGTCCCTCAATATTGCTGGATGATAGCTTACCGTGTCTGCCAAACACCCTCGCTATCATGCCCTTTGTGTTAGTCTCATTTCGGTCCCAAATGCTATTTATGGAAAGTGTCCAGATTTGCTCATTTGGCATATCTACGGAATGTAGAGATCGGCCTGAACACAATGGTGTTCGTCCCGTGTCCAAATTCGCAATCTAAGGACATTCCATATTTAGTAAGTTTCGAGCTTGTCCCAGAGACTAACTCCTGATACTAAGGGAGGCTTGGGGTGAAAGCCCAAAGCGTGTGTTCCTCAAGGGGGGGGGGGGCTGTGGGGGGTTCCAAATGTATAGTAGGGATAGTGGGTAGGTCGGGCATGGCCGACCAACCTGAGGCATAGTCTAGCTCCCGCTTGCGTGCCTGTCCTTGTTTTGCGTCCGGCTTGGGTCTAAGCCCAAGTTCCATTCCATGCTAGTTGGTGGAGTACCCATATCCTCGCGTTAGGCCACCGGTATGCCGAAATAGCGCCAGACTCCGTTTGGCTCCGTTTTGTGTGCTGGTCCTGGCATTGGGATGCTAGTTGCTCCAGGACTGTTCCAAGTCACTCCGGGCTCCTGTCCCTTCACTCCTTGGGCTTTATGCTCGGGAGTTGCTCCGTGGTTCGGTTCCGTCACTCCTTGGCTCCATGCTTGGGAGTTTGGCACCGTTCCTTCGTTCAATGGCCCAAGGCCTTGAACTTCGGGTTCCTATGGACACATGGCATGGACACGTGGCATGTGACACGTGGCATCTGTCACGTGGCACAAAGAGGGTTTAGGTTCCGCTTCGTGGTGTTATCCTATGGTAAATCACCATAGGATAAAGGGTCAAAACCACGTGCACTACACTGCCACACGTGGCATACATGTCAATCAGCGCAGTAGACAGGATCAAGCTCGAATCCCAGCCAGCAGCAACCATTTGGGAGTGGATTTGCTTACCCACCGGAAGAAATCGCGATCCACAGCACGCTCCAAGGGCCACGACCCACTTGATCCTGCCCGGAGTGACGCCCTGGAGCAGCAATCTCCGGTCAACACTTTGCATGTGCCATGCGTCGCTGGGCCTTCCTCTCCCGCCCCACATGGCTTGGCCGCCTCCCATTGGCCGGGGGCAAACATCAGCGCGATTATTCGCTAACACGTGGTTAAAGAAATAACCCCTTTACAGTTACCCCCCATCGGATGGCCCCGATTGGCTGGATCCGGCGGCCCACAAAGTTTGGCGTTTGCTCCTTATAGTAGTAGATTCTGGTTTATGAGGTGTGTGGTGTTTGGAATGAAAAAATGATAAAAGTTGATAAAGGTTTGTGGGTTTATTTTTTATTGCCTGGTTTGTTGTTACACATTGCCATTGTGTGGCAAAATCATCTATATTAACAACAAAATTAGTTTTCATTTTCTATAGCAACAATTATACAAATGCATATATGTGGTGAGTGTAAGCATTCTTGAGTTTGAGCTTTTATTATTGCAAATGGTTTTTAGGATTGCATATTTGAGACTTTTCCTTTTTGTTTCATAACTTTTTAATTTTTTTTCCTTCCCTTTATTTTTATTTTATTTCTTTTTACATTTACTTCCCATCACTTTGGTCTTCCAATAAATGTTTCTATTCAATATTTTTATTTTGCTCTTTTATTTCTCAAACCCCTCCAACAGTTTTTATATTATAGCAATTGACTAGCTCAAAAAAGAGTATTCTAATCTCTTCAACTTTGAATTATTATCCTCAAGCAAAGGCCAAAATTGACATTGCTTAAAAAGTGTAGGCTTGTATTTGCCATCAAATGAGGAAGACTGGAGGATGGAGTGCTGCAAAGATACTAATTTTAGAGATGCTAGCCAAGATCAAGAAGAAGGATCCCAGCATATGTACAAGCCAAAGGTGAAGTTTTCCGATAATAAAGGAAGAGAAGGCTTTGAAGGAGAGCAAGAAACCAGTGTACCTGAAAGATGTTCTGGCTAAGCAAGTTCTGGAAAATCCTGAGGGGGACAAGGATTGAAATCTTCCACAACACTCACTTCATTTATCTGCAGCATCAGGATCCAAAATTCTAATACTTTCAAGGTCCATCCCCCGGCATGAAAGCTCGGCTGGAAAGTCGTCTATGTAGCTCAGCAAAAGAGCCACCCACAATTGTCCTCGAGGGATTGTCAATGAAACATTCGTCATTGATAAAGACGACCTTCTTGGAGGTGTTCTTCCAAAGTTGCAGAAGATATCCAGCCACAGTAGCAAGAGCAGTGGTCTTCCCAGAGCCCAGAGTTCCAGGAAGGTTGTCAGTGCCGTGTCTCAAGGTCAATACGAAACTTTTTATCTCCGTAAGAGTGAGCGACCCATGTACATGTATGTTTTACTCCATTCCAGAGAAAGCGGGAGTATGGAGCTCCCGAAAAGTCGCATGGCTTGTCCAGTCAGTGTCCGGTCAGATTCTCGTTCAGCTTCTTGGCCCAGGCGATCTTGTCTGACACAAAAAATTACGGCTTTCAGTCCCCTAGACATCATTCATACCAGGCACGTCAATCTCGGCTGGACGAAGTCCCGCTGGTGGTGGCGCTGGTGCTGTGAGAGGCACAACGAAGTTTATGGAGGAATGGCCACAGAATTAAACACAGCCAAAGGGCAAACAGGGGTGAGAATGACCGAGATTACCAGATATCCACACAGAAAGAAAGAAACAGATTCAGGAAGCAAAAATCCTTAACCATGACCAGACAGGGAAAGCAAAGCAGCCGCTCCGGGATTAAGAGTTGCTGCTGCTCCGGGTGAAAGAGAGGCTGCTGCGGGAGAGGAGAACTCGGTTAGTCATCTCTTCCATGTGTGGTTATGGTCAGGGATTTCGCAACACAGATCTGAGAGGCGAAGGGGTACTCGACAGAGAGGGCTACCAGATTAGCAGCGACGAAATTTGAAAGAAAAGGCATCGCGGAATGACCAAGTAAACATATGAAAAGCAAACAAGGGGGAGGAATGCACAGACTTGTGAGCAGAACTGAGCAAACTCTAGTGTCAGGCCGAAAAACATACCAGTCATCCCAAAGAGAAGACACCCAACTATTACTAGACAGACAGCATTAAAGTAGCATCCAGAACTGGACAAATGGAATACCAAGAACTGGACAGAAAATGGGGATGCATGTGAAAGGAAACGAAGGGCTTTCCCAATTGCTTACCCGCGCACTGCAACATTCAGAACAAAACAAAGTTAGTATTAGATCTAGAAGAAAAAACCAGGGTCTCAACAGCCATAGCCATACAAGGACGACCAAGGATCCACAAGGGAGCATGCGTCCACCGGCAGCATAGCCAAAAGCCACCATAGCCACACTTCCAGCAACCCAAAATAAAAGCGAATTGAAGCTACCTCTGGCAAAATCCTTAACCATGGCCGAAAGCAGCCATAGCCACATGGAACCACACACACAGCAAAACGCCCCAAATCGAGGGGGAAAGCTAAATACACAAAGAATGACTTACCATTACATTGGAGGAGGAGGAGTTCATTCTTCCGCAGCTGTAATTTTTTCTTCCGCAGCTGCTGTTTTTCCTTCCGCAGCTGCTCTTCCTCCTTCTGCCAATATTCCGCCAGAAATTGATTGCCACTCTCAAAGGCAGAGAGAAAAGATCCCCCAGCCGCTTGGATCTGCGGCTCAAGACGCTCGATTTCAGCCTGCACCTTGGCCAATTCCTCGTCCATTTCGTTAGTTGAAACCCTCACCGCTGCGCGCTGGAATCGATGATCCGGAGAGCGATCAAGAGCGCCCTATCGTGAAACCCGACAGTGGCGCCCTAGAATCGTCAGTGACCGCACGATCTTCATCCGGTGGTTTAGACCACTAACTCAATTATAAACACAAGAGACAAAAAGTGAAAACTTAACCACAATTTTGTTTGTATGGTGTGCAATTTGTAAAAAAGGATTTTACAACGGTGGATTTCACTCACACCACGTGTATGCCTGCTATTGGTCACATGTATTATGAGTGTGAAAAAAACAAATTTTAGGAATATCCAATCCTTATGCCCCAGATGTGGCATAATGCCCATAGCAATGACCCATGCTATGGAATGGAGCCATTCATGGCCCATAGACCCATTCATCCCATGCATTCTAGCAAATTGTTAATGTTGCAAACTAAATAGACAATTGACTAAATTGCATACCATACTACCCTATCTAGAGCACTATGTTCTCACATCTTGCTCTTGGCACTCATGGCAAAAGAACTAAATTATCCTTTTTTGGCACACCTCTTTTAACATAGTGTTCATAGCAAGTGTAAGTGAACTCCATCTAGGCTAAGGATCTGGAAGATGGAGTTTCCAATCTTTCCAAGTTGATTTGAAAGAAGGAAAGATTTGAAAGATTGGAAAGCCATGGATATATATTGTCTGGAGTTATGTCTTTAATGCATCTCATTGAGTTTATCTTTCGTTGCCATTGATTTCCAATGTAACTCTCTTAACACTTTAGTTTTGTACCATGATGCTTAAAAGATTTGCATATGACTCAAAAGTAGATTGAAGTTTAAGCAATTCGATGAATTGGTGGGGCTCATACTTCAATTGTATACTACACAAAGGTGCATAGTGTTAATGTTTGGACCTGAAGTTCTCTCAACAGGAGCATGTTGAAGGAGATTTGAGAATGTGGAAGTTGCAATTGCATGTAGTAACATTTAGGATAACATAAGACACTTTCAACATTTTCCAATTATAATTGTTTCAAATTGGACTTAGAGTTCTCTTAAGAGGAGCATGCTAAAGGAGATTTGAGAATATGAAAGTTGCAATTGCATGTGGTAACATTTAGGTGAGAAGAGCAATAACAATGGACACTTACAATATTTTCCAATCATAATCATTTCAAATTTTGAAATTTGTAAAAAGGGTTTCCAAGCATGGGGCAAAACTATCCAATGTATGCTACACGCTACGGTTGAAGAATTGGATTTTTCAGAGATTGGAAGCTCATGCTCACTTTGGTAAAAGTAAATTTGTGACAGTTTTCTATATACTCTAACCCTTTTGTAATGTTTGAGGTTTTTGGGTTTCCTCCTGACATGGCAAATTGGAGAGGATTCTATGACTTCTTTTGAGGCACAATAATGGATCCAACAAAGGACAGGACTAAGGATTCTATATGATGCCTCCTCTTCTCAAGACTTGATAATCCCTCTAACAAGGCAGCCCAAGACTACTTTTAATGTTGTGCCAGTCACCGAGGGGAAAAGTCTTGCTGAAGAAAGTGACAGCAAGGGATATGTTACTTCTCGAGATGCAAGCAAGGACAAGTTCACAGACCCAGAGGGTGATTTTGATTCTACTATGAAATAGGTTGAGAGTTCCTCAAGCGAGGATGGGCATCATGTAGCACCCAAACTCAATAATTTTGACCCAAATCCTAAACAAGGAGCTACTTTGGAAGCTATAGTGATTACCTTTGGTGAGGCAAGCATAAGCCAAAAGGGCCGCAAGTGCCTATAATGGGCATTTATGGAATATTTTAAATATTCTTACCTTTAACTTCGCCAATGAACTAGAAAGAGTCTCTTTAAAAGTGTGAAACATATTTCAAAATAATTATCTATTTTTATTGTGAAAGTGTCTAGATTATGGTACTTCCACAACATCAGCCCAATCCGTACAAACTCTCTAGATTTTGGAGTGCCCGATGGATCTTGTGGTCCACTCCATTAACAAGTATGTTAAAGGGAAGAAAACTTCTCGTGTGCATGTGGAGAACCTGGAAAATTGAGTAGATGATGTACCCTGTCTCTCAATGTGGATCCAAATAGGCTCTCCCGGTCGGAGCTCTAGAGAATCAACTACAAAGTGATGGAACTTGGATAACTCTTTCAGGCTCATATTTATAAAATGTTCAAACATACAAGAGTTTTAGTTGTTTCTGAAAGTAAATAGTTACCTCGAATGATGTCCACAATCCAGCTGTGGAAGTTCTCTCCAAAGTCCTGATCAAAGATTAGGCAGTTGATGAACTCCATGGAAGGAATGATCATCCTTACCTGGAAGACTTGTAACAAAGCATCTCTCCCAATGAGTGAAAGCCCACCTAACAATGCTAGACCCTTGTAAGGCCTCTGACGAGCTTCCATGCACATTGAGTGTTGGAAGCCATCTCGGAGTAAATATCCCACTACGTTTGGCTCGATGAATAGGTAATGCCAGACCACCACAGCCACGCATGCCTCCACAACTTGCTCATAACCTTCACCAAGTTCGGTGAGTCTAGACTCAAGCACTGTGTTGTAGTCAGTAAATGCAAGGTTCTCTAAGATGGAATCCACATCGCCCTCCTCCTTTAGGCTTGATGCACCTCGCAATTGGTTAAGTGCATTCCAGATATACGGCACGTATGCCTTGAGGTCCATCTCATATAGTCTTCCTTGGGCAAGTCATCAATCATTCTCATCTGGAACTTCTCGGGCTGCAATTGCCAATATTGCAATTGTACACCTGCGAAATACCTGTGCATTACATTCGAACATTTGGAATAGCAACCATCCCACAAAGATAGCCTGTGCATATAGAAATGAGGAGCATATAAAACTTGTGCTTTAAACCTAACTTACCACATCTCGCTCTTCTTGTCCTAACATCCTAAAATGCATTAGCATCCTGGGATGCCAATATGTGGCTCCTTCCCTAAGCATAAACAGTCCATGCATCTGTAACACAAAGTTACTCTAGTGAGCCAAATGAAAATTAAACTTACCGATCCTGAAATTTGGTGAACAGCCTTCTTAATGGCTTTTGCATGTGGCCCACCCGCATCTATTGTGGATTCCTCCCACACCAAAGCTCCTCCAATCTCAAATGCATAGACCACTTTATAATTCAGTGTGCAGAGATTAGTATTGAAGGTGAATTAGAAACAACTGAATTCATTGTTTGGTGTAATCTGGAAGGACAAGTGAGGGAACTTCAATTCATAAGCAATCCATTGCTTACCAGAATGTGAGACGGCCTCAAACGTGTACGAGCAAGTCTGTATGGCCAAAGGATGGCTTTCTCGATGCAAAAACGAGAGAACTTACAATACAGTGTTTCAGTAGTGTCAAATAGTTCTCTTAATTGTTGTGTAGCCACCCAATTTCTACGTAGGTCCTTGCACAAAATAATAAAATGTTACTAAGTGCTAAGAAATAGATACACATACCTCTTTTTAATGAACCATACTATTGTGGACTCAATAATTGAAGAAGGCACATTGATACTTACTTTAGCAAGGAGTTGTTGGATTGTATTGTCACAAAACACATCTTCGTACTGCGCTTCTGAAAGGCCAAGCTTAAGGAGAACACTCTCTCAATCCTACCAATGAAGCATGGCATGGTTGAAAAAGCACACGCTGAAGAAATATTTCATCGCTAGCCCAATATAACTTAGAGTGTCTAGCAACAACGTCTAGCATCTATTTGTCACTTGTGCTCTCCACACCAAAATAACTAAGAAGCTTGTGTTTCAGCCACTACACTTGTGAGAGAACTTCAACATCCCCTTGTGCCCTCGCCTCAAGGGCTGTAGTGGCATTCTGTAAGGTAGAAACCTCCTCATGCTACAGCATGATGAAGTTGTCATTATTTTGAGTGGTTAATAGAACAACTTCATTAAATGCATTAGTAGCATCAATTTATTGTTGTTGACGCTCAAACAATCTACATGCAAATGTTAGTTCAATTTTGAATGGCATAATTTTCAATTATCTTACTCTACTATAGAAAAGTTGTCAAGCAACTCCATAAGAGTAAATGAAGTGGAGCTACTTCCCTCTAGAAAGGGGGGTGGAAGCACACCATGGTCTTCAAAGCCTCCGCCATCACTGTCATACATTACCATTGGCTTATCTGCACTTAAAAATTAGAAAATGAAGAAAATATTCATTTATGTTAATGCTTTTTACTAGCCACATGGCTTGGAGCCACTATCTCTGGTGACAAGGATCTCTCCGGAGATCTTTGATGCGGTTCATCCCCACTATCACCTTATTCTTTGACTCCAGTGATGTTGTCTTGTATGGGGAGAGTATCTTTCGGTAATGGAAGAATGTCCTCTTCATCCACAAAGTCTTCTTCTTCATTATTCTCGTCTTGGTTTAGTTCTTGCATGGCTAGCCTTGGGAGAAATGGCTCTATCACCAATGGATCATCATTTGCAGTCAAGGTATTTGTAGTAGCTACAACTGCAAAGACCACAACATATATTTGTGAGGAGGGAACTTAAAAAACAAAATGACTTATGTTCACGAACATCCTTCTCCTCGAATGTTTGGGCCTGTTTTTGATAACTTAGCTAATGTTTGTCAATAAAATGCTCCATAATATTGTATAGGTATATTATTGTTACCTGGTTGCTATTGGCCTTGTTTGTTATAGTTCCCCATGATGTTTGAGGAGGCTAATAGCAAGGCCGGATAGAGCTGAGGCCAAATTTTGCAAACTCGGCATGGGCCTCACCACCATTGGACTGCCTTGCATGCTGGACAAATGCTTCTGGGTTGGTCATGGATGAAGGTTGGTGTAAGCGACTTAATTTTCCATTCTACTTTA